GGTTGTGCACACGTGTTTGTTTGTGTTGTTTTAGCTTCCAGTCAGGATCATATGAACTTCACTAAGTTTCTGACCTTATTCCAGCCGTGAAACTGACCCATATTTTGTAGCAGAAGGTGGGTATTTGTAACATCCATGTCTCTTAACCCACTTTCCTCAATGCCCAATAGAAACAAATATGAAATACACAAGTTTGAACTTGTGTGGACAACATTGTCTGATTTCTCACCTTTCTATTAAAACATCACCCACATGTGGTTCATCTACATACAGATATCATCATCTTGTATTAAATACCTTTTAAGATACAAATATTGGAATTAAAAAGATTTTGATCTATGCTGATACTCCCTGCATTATTAATATGGTGGATACCTAATTTATACAAATAGACAATATTTTGCTTTTTCTGCAAGCTATGCACACATTGCCACAATTCAGCATTGTCCCTTACTGCCTGTTGGGACTTTTTTAAAATTGTGGGAGGGCAGATATTTAGAGAGCAGTAAAACATCAGAAACCACGACACGTGGATTGCCCCCTGCATTTGATTTCTGTAGCCAAGAGTCCATCAGGGAGCATGCTCCTCCCACCATGGTGCCTCACCTGGAATGGTCCCATCACGGCTCATAAGCCAGAGGGAAAGGAGATCTTCTGAGGGATGGGGGAGAACAAGGAGAGGTGGTTGGAGAAATGGCAATTTGGAGTTGAGTGGAGTAGTAAGGGCAAAGTAAACACCTGGAGGGTTGGAGGGGGCAGGGGGTGCCATTGGAATGACACAGAAGCAGTGCTGGGCAGGGAAGGAGTCCCGCTGGGTGCTCACACACGGTGGCTGTGGAGGGGGAGGCTGAGGAGTGGGGATGGTGTTTTGGAGTTTGCTTACAGGTTGCTGCACTGGCACAGTCTGGAAGTGAGTAAAGGTGAACAATAAAGCACAAAGCAGGGCTGTTTTGTTTTTTTTTTTCCTCAAGCAAGTGTTAGGGTTTTGTTTCCTGAAGAAATCTGGGAATTGTTTAAGCCTGATTTCCTCCCTCCTCCTCCCATGTCACTAGCTCCTCTGCAACCTGCTGGATAGTCATGCTGTCTGTGGTACAGGTAATCAGCCAATTTCTAGTTCTATAGCAATTTACAAGAGCATCTGCTCTTTCTAGATATAGATATTTTTAAAAGGGTAAATTTCCCTCTTCCAAAAAACCCCAAACAAACAAACCTAAGGTAGTCTTCTTTCAATGAGCAACAGGTAATGATAAGGCTTGTAAAAGCTTTGTCCTCTCTTTACTCTCTTTACAGGCTTGTCAAGGTTACCTTCCCTGACTCGAGAATTCTTGCTCTGTCTGTTTCTCAGCTGGAATTTGAATAGCAATATCTTGACCAGTTTTCTGTCTGAAATAGGGAAGAGAAAGTAAAAATGGAACCTGTGTGTGAGAACTTCTTCAGCTTGACATCCCTGGAGACTGGCTGAAACTGTTGCATGGTCCTGAATCCAGAAAGTATATAGGCTTCATCTGAGCTTAAAGTGTCTGTGGAATTCCTTCTTTTGTCCAGCTCCCTAATCTCTGAAGGTTAAACACAGCCATACTTGGACAAAAACAGTGAAAGTTTTCTTACACAGCTAGTACGGTGCCTGTGGATCAGGCAATCTGTTCCTATTACCATTAATCCCTGGATTTTCGGTTGCAATTTTAATTAAGAGAGTGGCCATTCAGGTTTTGATCTGTTCATCTAAGGACCTGAAGGTTTTTGTCCCCATCTAATTCAAAAGCAGGTCTTTCACTGAGTTCAGTGGTTACAGAATTGTGCCTGTTATTTTTCTCTTCTCCCCCACAATCCCCCTTTCCCCCCAAGGTTTTCTTTAAAGGATAAAACCCCCAGGAGATACAGGTCCACCAGAACCAAATAGAATCAAATAATTTCCCAGGGTCATTTTTAGAAGTAGCTTTTCCCCCCCCTTCCTATTTCCAACCACAATCTTGCCTTTTTTTAAATAATCTGGAACTGCAGCTGCATAGTGGAGTAGAATTCAGAGGTAAAAAAAAAAAAAAAAAAAAAAAAAAAAAAAAAAAAAAAAAGAGAAGTGTATGTTTGGGTGTTAATATACATATTGAATTATATTTAATTGTGCCTTATCAATAGGCTGCTGAACTTAGGTGTTTGCTGCTGCCATTGGTCATGATGCTCTGTAGCAGGCAGAGGCAGCAACTGCTGCTGATGGAAAAGAAAAGGTAGTGAAGGAGGAGGGGAGAAGAAGATGGGAGGCGAGGGGATTGGCTGCTTTTAATGCCATTCACAGCCGCGGCCCCGGCTCTTCCGCTGCTCCAGCTCTGGCTCTCCCTTGAACAGCTCCTGGAGAGAACAAGGCGTGCGGAGCTCGGATCACCAGCATCATGCTCCTCGGGCTCGGATCGTAGATCCCCCTCTCTGAACACTGAAACAACTCCTTCGTCTTTCAGCGTCCCAAGCAGACCCAGCGAGAAAACAAGCACGTGAGAGAGAGAGGAAAGAAAGAGGAGGAAGACGAAAATCTGCATCCAAGGGGACTAAAGCAAAGAAAAAGAGTGCTTTGCTCGCACAGCTGCAAAGTGGGAATTTAAAGAGCTGCAGAGAGAGAAATTCCAGCTCATCAGCACATACACATTGCAGAATTACAGATCCAGGTAGAAATGACATCAACAGGGAAAGAAGGCAGCGGAGCTCAACATGCACAATATGTTGGACCCTATCGTTTGGAGAAAACCCTAGGAAAAGGACAGACAGGTTGGTTCTTTTGCAGCAGCCCCGGTGCTGGAGGGAAGGTGCTGTAGCAGCCGGCGAGGTGTTGGGGATGGGGTGTTCGAGGGTTCAGCTTCTCCCATTTGCTGTTTCAGTGAAGACAATATTCATAGGAGATTTTGGCCCTTATTTATTTTTAGTTTTCATTTTAATACCTTCTTTTCTTCCTTTTTTTTTTTCCTTTTATCCTTTTTTTTTTTTTTTGAAAAAAAAATAGAAAATAAAAAGAAAAAAAGCCCAGGATGCTTTATGTTCATTACTCCTGCTAATGGGTGTTGTTCTGATGACAGCCGGAGTGCATGCAGAGGAAAAAATAGATGATCTGCTGGTAGTGAATTTTCACATCCGTTTCTTCACTGCCCTACTTAGGAGCATTTTTCTTTTTAATCAAATTATATTGAAATTAAAGGTTCACAGCCTGTAGTACCGAGGAGGTGGTGGTGGTGGTAGTGGGGGAGTCACCAGCAGTATTTCATGACATCATGATTGAAAAGGGTGTAGTCCTTAAGGTGCAGTTGGGGGGGGTTGGTGGAAATATGTACAGTATGTCTCTGGCACTGCCTGCTGTGGGTATTTAGCAAATATGGATGGATGGGCTGGTGGTTTTTGTGGGTAGGGTCTGAAATAAAAGAAAAATAGAGGATCGGTAGCAGAATTCATTCTGGTTATGCTGTGTTTTTGTAGGAGGGGTTGGGAGGGGGGAAGGGAGGTTATTTAATTATTTTTCTTAAGGCTTGTTTATGAAACTTGCCCCCAGCAGATTTTCCTGAATGGAACAATGGTAAGAAATATTAAAAAGAGGAAAGCGAGTGGAGGGAATTAGCAGAGAGCAGGTGCTTCTGCCCTACATGACATAATTAGATCCCCTAAATGCGTTCAAGATCTGGACTTACTGTTGCTTGCTTGGATAGCATATTCACTTCAAGGGCAGGGGAGTATTAATTGGAAGAAAAAACCCTTAAAAAGAAGCCCAAACGTCTTCCTTCTTAAAATATTTTATTTTTAGTAACAGGTGCAATAAGCAATGGCATCTGGCAAATTCATTGGGTTGGGATCCCCCCAAAAGTGGACTGAGACTTGAGGTTATGATTTAGGGAAGGGGTAAGATCAGCCATAGGGGGGCTTCTTTGGGCATGTGGGTGTTAAGTGTTGTTCATTATGGTGGGACAATAAAACATGATGCATTGTGGTGTATTTTTTTTTTATAACCCAGCCGAGCTTTGCCCATCTGTTGTCTAAAGGATTTAATAGGCGTTTCCATCCCCAGCTGCTGCCTCTGCTCTGCCTGCTTCCTCACTGCCCTGCGTGGCAGCAGCTCTGCAGTCCGCAATTTTCTTAGGGACACAGTCAAAATCCAGATCTTTCTCTGTAAGAAGCAATGCTCTTCTGAGATGATTGATTATAACCTCCCCCCCATCCTTCCCCTCCTCTTCACAACCCCATAGCAACCGTTCAGAGACATGGATGAAGATGACATTGTCTTCTAGTGGAAGTGACTTTTATTTATATTTCTTTTTTTTTTTTTTTTTTCCCAAATCTCTTCAGTATATCAGCTGCTGTAGGTAGTTCTCTGTCACTGTTTTGGTTACCACCTTTATCCTTTGCATAGCTCAGTGGATCTCCTGCAGCTGTGTTCTTATACTAAAATCTGTTGTGATGATGGTGATGAAAATATCCTACAAGAGAAATTATGGTATAATGTAAATAAAACTGTCCTATTTCTGCTGTTTTCCTTTTTAAACACACATTCCTTTCCTGAATACTCCAGGTGATCAAAGAGCCAAGCTGTAGATGACAAATTCATTTTTGTCTTCATCACCATTTCCTTTTTTTTCTCTCTCTCTCTCTCTCTCACCTTCTCAGTACCCCTCCCTCCCCTTTAAATGCAATTGTGCCTGAGATTCCTGAAAATACAGCTGCATTAACCTTTTGCTCCATGTTCTTATAGCCTGACGTTGTGGTCCTAAAGGGTTATCTGCAGCTTTGGTTATGTTTTTTTTCCTCTCTGCTAATCTTCCTATCTTCCTCCTAAGTGATTAGAGACGTGGGGGTGGAGAGAGAAGAACAGGATGTATTTAGAGGCTTGCTGCTGTTGGCCTCTGCAGTTATTCAACCAGCTGGACAAGGGTGAAAGTTTCCTTTTGCAGTTTTACCGTATAACTGATCTTTATAGATAAGTCTCTGCTGTCTGCACACATGAATGCACATGAAATGCACAATACATGGTGTCATAGAAGCTGGAGGTGGGGGAAGGAGGAAGAGAGATCTTGAAAGTAGCTGATGTCAGTCTGTGACTCTCTTTTTATACCCGCCCTTGATTAGTGGAATAATGCACTGAGGTGAAATCTAACTCAGTATTAAACATACATGGCTAAATATGGAAAGATGCCTTCTGGTCTTCTCGCATTTTCTGTGCTAACCACATTTGGGAGCATGCAGAATGGTATAACCAGTGTGTGGCATGTAGCTCATCCTCATCCTGCTTGTTTTGGTGGGTAAGCAGGCAACCTGCAGCATTTTAGGGAGAGGACAAGCAGTGCAGTAAGGGGGCCTGATTCTCCATAGTATATTGGGTATCTTGGCGTTTGGGTTGCAGTGGCTTACAGATGAAGGAAGTTGTGATTGTAATAAGTCATTTAGAGCTTGACTTTGAAGCTTGGAAGCTTAGGAGTAATGTTTTGGAATTTTTTTTCCAAGAGGATGAGGAAGAGTGAGAAGAAAAATGTGGCAAAATGAAATGATGAGTAGAAAGAAGTGTAAGTTTTTGTTGCGAAGTCCTGTCCATTTTGCAGTGGTCTTCATATCCATCACTTTTATTTGGAATAAAAAATTTTTGACTCCATAAAGTTGTTTTAGATAGGCAGGTCAAGCTTTGCTCCCAGATACATGGGTGTTATACAAACGTATTAATCACTCTTACCTGCCTTTACTGACATCAGAAGAAGGGGGTTTGGGAAGGAGTGAGGGTTCATTCATAGTTCAGAGCAGACTTAGAGAGGGTGCCATAGAGGAAGAACTTAATGGTAGGTAAAACTCTTTGGTTTTCTCTCTGTGAAGTGCATGCTGATTGCCGCCTTAAAAGCTGCCAAAAAGTGTTTGCCAGCAGCCAGCAAGCTACTGGTCCCTACAGAGAGGTCCGGTTGTGGTATCTGGGACATTAACGGGACCTGGTGACAGCTGGCTGTGGGTGGGCAAAACTGACAGGGGAAAGCCTTCTGTTCAAATTGGTGGGTAACCACTGAAAGTGTTGATTGATCAGATATGCAAAACTGGTCCTGAGCAGCCTTCTGGGCTGGTGCGTCACGCCTGCCGAGGGTGACCGATGCCACAAAGGGAGGATTAGGGCCTCTCAGGCAGAGAAGCTGGGAGGGGGCTCACGGGCCAGTGCTGAAAAGTGGTTGGGCTTAGGTCTTTGCTGCTAGTGGGAATGGTGGATGGACAAAAATTATTTTTAATAATGCAATTTGGCATATCATTTGAGTACCGTGGCAAGATGGTTTGCTTTTGTGATAGGTTGAATTTAGAGCACCTCTTCTTGACGTCATCTGCCGGAATAGCATATGGAATCTCTAGGTAAATGGTCTTGCAAGAATACGAGAGGCATCAGAATTTTGATTGTTGTACTCAAAAAATTATTTTACAGAACTGCCAGAGTAAAAAAAATATATACATGGATGTGTGGGGAAAGGCTGGTTTATCTCAGTTCCATTGGTACGTTCTTTTACAGTTAATTATAGGAGGTTTTCATTGTAATTAACAGTAGTGAGCAAAGGATGTGTGTCCTGTTACAGTAACACACATGGAAACAGTGTGCTTTGAGAAGCCCCAGTCACACCCGATCATAAACCAGTGTTATAGCTTTAGGTACAGGTTTTCTTCATTTGCCACTAATTTTACATGAGACCAACTTCCTGTGTATTCCTTGGTCTATTTTTTTTTTTTTTTAATTCCACAGTTATCTCTGTTCTTGTATTTCTTTTGGCCTCATTAACACCTTTTTCACTTTTGAAACTCTTAACAGTAATTCAAACTGACTGTAGTGAATATTTATTAATGAGTGCAAAGATGAGGAACTGAAGTATTTCTTGTGAAGATCTTTAGCATTTTGGAGGGTTTTTTGGTATTTTCATTTGACAGTCACTGTATAGGCTTCAGCATCATTGTTTGCTGTAGAACCAATTCAATGCCTAGTTGAAATTTCTAAAATGCTGATTTGTCTACAAGCAATAAAGCATTGGTTCTATCCACATTGAGATAAACTTCATGAGAAGTTTAATGCTGCTCATTCATTTTGTTATGTTCCTTTTATTCTGTTTTAAGCCTGGTACAAAGAGTCGTGCTTGAAACTCACGACACTTTGACCTTCACAAAAAGTGTAGGGGTTCCCTTTTCTGCCTTGCATCCCATATACAGCTATTTATTATTTTACAGCTATTTTGGTGTATAACATGTTCATTATATATGAGCCATGGGCGAGGTGTTCAGCAGTGTGCTGTTGGGTTATGTAAGAACAGAAGTAATTAAATTTGGGTCTTAGAGAATTTAATAGCCTTTTATTCAGTGGGAGCTTAAACAGGTCATTTCTCTACAGCCTTACACATCTGTTTCCATGACACTGGCAGAAACTGAAATTTGTTAATATTTTTTATTTGTCAAATTTTGTTGAAAGCTTCAGCTCTATTCAAGGAATGTTGGGTAGTCTGTGTGATCTCAGAAGCCTGGTTTTCTTAGGTAAGTGGCTAAACAAAGTAAGTCCTCTTCATTCATACTGCTGTAATTTCTAACACAGCGTATTGGATCTAGAGATAATCTAAGGAGTACAGCTTTCTTCCATTTAGCTGTCTAGATGAATATATCATTGTAAGAGGTGTAAATCATTGCAGTTTTCCTTTTTAAACACATAAGCAAACAACAAACCAGTATATATCCTAACAATATTTTCATACATATACTTTGCTTTCCTTATGAAAGTTTCTTTCAAAGCA